TAGTGAGGTTATACTTTAGTTATAGCATGACTAATGCTATCAAATATGAATCTGTCTATAAATTGCTATATTTATAACTCATACAGTACTGACTATTTACTATTACATTTTACCATGAGCTTCCTTGCTTATGCACTTATTACAAATTACAATTTATAATTAATTCTATAGCATTTAAAATTAAGTTATGATGTTTTAATGACCACTCGTTACTGTCACCACTTGTTCTCATTACTGTATATAAAGTTTTATATTTAATTAATTATTCATTTGCAAGAAATGTTATTAAAATGCCAATAAATATGGTATTGATGTATATTTTGTAAAACATTAATTTAATTAAATGGTGAACACATATGGGCTCAACAATGTGTTCAAACGTCGGGAATAACGGCGAATCAAAAAGTCTTAATTTTGTGACAGAAAACGACGAATCGTTGCTAAAAGTGATATCCGAAACATTACTTCAGATAGACATCACTGACAACACGATTCTCATACCGACTCTCTTTCAGGATATCTGTCAGGAATATGACATTAATTACATACTAAACGCCGCAAAACTTATCAAGACATCAATAATTGGCCAAAACCTTCTGCCCTTTAATAACGGAACCGATGAAAGTAAGACAACTGACAATGTGTTGAAGAATGCGAACCATCCCTATCTAAATGTACCGCAAATTATGGATCAAATCGATTGTCTGAAGCAATCGTTGAAGAAATTCAACCAATTGTTAAAGAATATAATTACAGAATACGAGGAATCAATACTTTCGCTAAATATAGAGAGTGTAAAGGAATCGCAAGCAGAGGATTAATCTCTTAAAGCACGGGATTTTTGGCTATTATTTATATTCTGAGACTCAATTAATTTCATGATAAAAGTACATCTAATTTAAAATTTTGAAAATAAACATTTAATGTTGATTTTTAAATCCGTATTAAATTAACGTTTTGTAATCACTTGTTACTATTGTTGTATATTTTGTAATGGGACACAAAACTAGATAGAATCCACGTATTTATTGCTTTTATGCCGCGATTTCAAAGATTACGATAACTGCAAGAATTTGAGACAATTGTCAAAAGTAGGGCACATCGAGTGGTTATATCACCCAAAAGTAGACGCGTTTTTTAAAGCATATAATAAATATACATTTATTTAATTATTACTAGTTATTATTTGTTTATAAAAACCAAACTATTTAATTGAATCAAAAATGTCTTTTATATCACTTTTATAGTAAGGCATAACGTTATTCCTCTTCAGTTTAAAGGCGGCGGTAATAAGATTTGTTCACTTTTAAAGTCACATTCTTTGACAGATAAGATCTACCAAAACAACTGCAAATATCTCCTAGCACAATTATGATAGCAATCATATAAATAATAATAATAATTTAATACACGATGTACAACTTTGCCATTAACACTATAAGTAGAATGTGCATGGTTGTTTGGAAAGAATTTTCATAGAAATGCATAGAATAATCATATAAATAAAAGACATGAAAAATTATTTGTCTATCTATTCTTAGCAATTAAAAATAATGTTAAAACTCATTCATAGTATTTGATACAAAAATCACAAAAATGACCGTTTTTCAATAATTTGAAATACATTTTTCAATGCTTAAGTTTAATGTCATAAATAAGTTTTAACATTTTTTTCAATTCCTAAGAATAGTATTCTAGATTAATAATCATATAATCATATAATAAAGCCTTACAATCATAACTTATGATTCATAAGAATAATGTAAAGAAAATATACAACTATTGACACATTTGCACACAATTTGATGGTTTTATTTCTACAATAATTCCCATGCAATTGTACTGTAAATATATGTTGCTTAAAGTTCTATTGGCTATGCGGTTAGTAAACATGGTATTTGTTGTTTTGATTCTGATATACTTATGAACTTAAAACAAACTAAAAGTTATTGATATATAATTAATATAAGACAATAAGTATATCAAACAATATGCTAAAAATATGTGATGTTTGCGGTGATAGAGGACGTGGTAAATGAATTAGAAAACTATGCTAGCTACTATAATTAGTATTAAATTGACAATATATTGCATGTATATATAGCCCGAAACTTTGGTGCCATGACTTGTAATTCTTGTAAAGCATTCTTCAGGAGGACTGGCCTTAAAAATGTAATTATAATTGAAATTAAAATAACTGATTGTTATTTAAAATCATTGATATATTTAGCAATTGATTTGTGCCTCAAATGGCAAATGCGATATCAATGTAATGACCAGAAGTTTGTGCAGAAAATGTAGACTTGAAAAGTGTTTTTCCGTCGGAATGAAAAAAGTATTTATGATTTTATTTGTAAATAATTAATTGTAATATTAATTATGTTTTTAATAGGAATTGATCCGAACTAATGACACAAATGAGAGAAAGAATATTATTTGTGAAAATAAACTAAAAGTAGGAAAATGTGATAATTCTGTCAATTTATCGATTTCTTCGGTCTCTTCTGTCGATCCTTTAAATGATTTAATTATTTTTAATGAAAATGAAGAGAAAGACGTTTTGAATGAATTGTTTGACAATTCAATTGACATAAATTTAGATGAGATTACAGACACTGAAAACAATGTTACAGACATTACACTAAATGAGACACTTGTGGTGACGACAGATATAAAGGAAAAGCCAGAAAACACGGCAATTGTTCCCATGTTTAGGGAAATCACGGATTATAACGGTTTGAATGAATTGGAAAACAAGCGGATACGGGAACTGACGAGCGCTGCCCTCATGTTAAATTACAATATATCTGATAATATACTGCCGGCCAATAGTTTGGACGAAATGATACAAACGTGTGGCTCTCGACAAGAGGATGGAGTGCTGACCATGGTCAATTTTGCTAAATCATTGTCCGGATTCAGTACGATATGCAGGGATGATAGGGTGGCGCTAATGAAGTACGGCTACAATGATTTGCTGACAATTCGGACGATAAAGCTTTATGATAAAAGCGCAGAGAATTTTTACATCCCTTTAGTGAGTCAATACATTTTATTTAATATTTGATTTTAACTGTAAATTAGTGTGAAATTGTAGTTTATATTATAGAATATTTCCATTTTGTAACGGTAATTTATATGTAAATTAATGTTGCTTATAATTTCTTAGGATCAAATGAATACTGTCAAGTTCAATTTGAATATTTTTCAATTAAACGATCTCTATTATAATCATATTACAACCATGCTGAACGCAATAGTTGATGAATGGAACAATGGTGATTCAATCGCAATTAACCTGGTCAATTATTGAGTCATTTCATATGTTGTAAGGCTCGAGAATATCACATATTGATTAAAAAAAAGTTGTATTTAGTCAGAAAAGTCATAAACAATTGTAGCAAATATGAGATGTTCTCGAGCTTTCATAAGATATCAAGTGATGCCTATATTGTTATAGTTTAACATCACTTTTAATTAATTACATTTAATATTTTACAAACATATAGTTAACGGCAATCGCTTTCTATAACCCGAATCGACCGAATCTAATACATAAATATAGTGTAAAGTAAGTTGTTATTTAAATTATCGACAATTATCATGATTATACAAATACCTACTAATACTAATAATTCCTGTATTTGTTAGACTCGAACAAAAACTGTATATATATTTACTGCAAAGATATTTATTATGGAAATATCGGTCGGATTCTGAATCGGGAGTAAAACTACAAACACTGATGTTTTTATTGAGAGACTTNATGGAAATATCGGTCGGATTCTGAATCGGGAGTAAAACTACAAACACTGATGTTTTTATTGAGAGACTTAAACACATTAAGTGAAATGGAAATGAAGATATGGCAACGATATTACAAACATTGTAAACATTATTTTGGACCTCTTATGGCAGAGATTTATAATTTTTAAAATACAACATATTTATGTAAATTGAATATTAATATATCACGCGTTGACAAATAGATTCAAGTATTTTATCAGTCTAAAATTGGGATGTTATTAATTTGAGACCACGTTCATAGTGTTATGCAATCATTAGTTACTTACAAGTTGATAAGTTGATAACTTGTAAGTTGATAACAATTGAGTTGATTATTAGGTTGTTTAACTAAATAAATTTTCAAAGTCATAAATCATCATGTTTACTTAAATTTTATACATATCAAGTGTTAATAAATTTAATAATTAAATACAATCTTTATATCAAAATTGGTGTTTAAATCTTTATTCAATGGGTATTAAGCATTGTATTAGAATAATATTAATCACTTTTGACGGAATTTGATTTCAGTCCAACAACTCGTTGGCCACCAATTGTTTGAAATATTTTCGGTCCACTTTTCCGATGTTAGTCCTCGGGATGTGATCGATAAATACCACACCAGCCCTCAGGCGCTTAGAAAAACCCACGGAATCTACAAAAAAAAACACATAAATATCGTTAAAACCAGTATAAAGTACTGTATAATACACAATACACATACCGGACACGTATTGGCACAGTTCCTGAGCGGTGGTCGTATAGCCGGGCCTTCGAATCACATAAGCCCGCGGCCACTGAGTCTCAGTGCGATGACTGACACCAATGACGGCCACTTCAGCCACCGATGGGTGTGTCTGTAGGAAGAGCTCTAATTCTGTGGGCGAGACCTGATATGTCGTCCATTTGATCAACTCTTTGATCCGGTCTGTAATGAATAGTCGGTGCCTTTCGTCGTAGTGTCCGATATCTCCCGTCCGGAGCCAACCCTCGGAGTCTATGTCATCGGTTGCGTTGACATTGAGATATCCGCTGAAAAGTTTGGGTCCTCTCACGCATATCAGTCCCTCTGTATTGACGGGTAAACTGTTTCCAGTGTTCGTATCGACGATTTTAACCTCAGTGTTACGCGAGAGTTGTCCCGCAGATCCCGGTGTGAAGTCCCAGCGCTCGGCACTCGTAAAGTGAGTGATCGGAGCGTATTCTGTCATTCCGTAGGCTATCATGTGTTTTGATACACTTTAGTTACTTAGAGAGAGAGAGAGAGAGAGAGAGAGATTCTAGGTTTTTGTATCAAAAAATTACTGAAATCACGTGACTAGAACATAGAAATTTTTGGGTCAAGTCGATTTGCCATGTTTTTTGCCCACCTAGAGGGGGGCTAGGAAGGGGGCGGGTTGGCTAATCTTTAGAGGAGATGTCAAAGACTATGATAGCAAAGTTTCATAAAACTCAAGTGAATATTCTTTCGTAGGGAACAAAATATTCAAGAAATTTGACATAATATTTGGACAAAAATAGCCCAATTTTGATCTTTTTATACTACATTTTTGTTGTTATAAAAAGTCAACTTCAGAACCATTTTTCTCCATAGACGTAATGTTAATAAAATTAACAAGTTCTCGTAGATGGCTAAATGAATTTCAATCAAACTTTGCTATCATAGTCTTTGACATCTCCTCTAAAGATTAGCATACCCGCCCCCTTCCTAGCCCCCCTCGAGGTGGGCAAAAAACATG